GGCCCCCTGCACAAATCTGCTGATGATAATGTCAAGGGCAAGCACATATGCATATGTGTGATGAAAGCTGCCTGCAGGAGGAGAGACACCACAAACACACAACTTTATCCAGCGGAGCAAGGGCAGGGGAATATGGGAAATGTCTTGAACCACCCACCCGCTGCCCAGTCCCTTCAGGACTTCCCTGTGTAAGTCTCTGCACACAGGTTTGGGATGTAATGTGAAATCCAGCCCATCATTTAAAAAATCACTGCTGGAAGGGATGGTCAGGTTTACATAAATGCTCCCTGGCACTGTACGATGTGAGCTGCCATATCTGTGGCCAAACATAGTGCACATGTTGTGGTTTCTCTGGATTACCAGCAGCCCACCACCACAGATCCTACACAGGGGCCGCGTCGGGGGAATAGCTCACATTTAGCTCTTAAGCTACAGCAATCAATATAAATTTAGCATGGTAATGATCAGGTGCAGGGGGTGTAAGTCTCCCGTGCTTCTCTCTCTCTCTTTTCCCGGTTCATGCCACGGCGCTCCTGCTCCCAGAGGCCTGTGGGTAACACAGCTAAGGCTCCACGCTGCACGTCAAACCTCAACTGAGGATTACAGCGGGGAAACAAACAAACAAGGCTGTCTCAGAGTCTTAGCGACAGGCACAGGCAATAGCCGGCGCTGGTAATGAAGCCACTGACGGCACACACTTATGCACAGACACACACACACACACCTCAACAGCTCTCAACCCTGCACAATTCCCTTCCTGGTGCAGCAGAGGTATTTTAGACTGTGTTAAGGATATAATGGGACAAATAGAGATGATGTGATGAGGGGGCTGTGTGTGTGTGTGTGTGTGACTGATAGATGAGATGCTGTCTCTCAGGAGAGTGTCCGCGATGATGACTATCGCCAGGGGAGGAGAGTTGAGACAGTTGTGGCTCCTGGGTATTCAGATTGGAGTGTTGACAGGTTTATTATTGAAGTTTTTTTCCCATTCTTTCTATCACTGGCTGGGTGGTGTCGGGGTGTGATAGTCACTGTCTTCTTCTGTACTTTCCGTCTTGACAGACAACAAGTGTGCTGTTCCTACACCAGCTGGTCTCTCGCCACTCTGGCAGCCATCTCAAGGCATCCGGAGGAGACAACAATGATGTAGATTAATTAAAACGGCATAACACTTAATGCTTTTCGCCGTCTATTTTTACACCCAAAGTTGTAAAGAATTTTTACACTGCGAGGTGCAGCATTAAGGCCAAAAGCAAATTGGCTGGAGGACCGTGCCAAATGTAATCGCCTCTACGCTGGCTCGCTCTCCTCGTTTGTGTCAAGCAGGATGCCTAGCCAGGGTATCAAGGCCCGTAATGCAATTGACGACCTGCTGCCTCTGACATTAATAAAGATGGAACACGTACAGGAAATTAAACTCTCACTTTCCTATTGTAATGAGATCTTATCCATCATGATACTGTTTACCTCACAATCAGATAAAATGATCAAATTGAAGCTCAATCAGAGCCTCACACAATGCCATCGCTGTAACCTGCTGGCATTACTCTTCTAAATGGATGGAAAAGTGAATGAGATTTAAATAAAGACTCTATATGTTAATGGGCAGGGTTTAGCTCCCCTGGTGATCCACTTTCTACAGAGAAGAGGGGGAGAAGTGACGAGGGGGGGCATGTAGCCAGCACTGAAGATGAATGTCAGTAGTTGTTGTGTTATACACATAGCTAATCTCCTTCTTCTTGTTTTAAAAAATGCAAGAAGGAGGAAAGTGAACACGTTGACCCGAGCAAGCGTCTCAGGCGTCTCTGTGTCCCGGTTGGCCACAAGAGGGAAGTAGCTAGCTACAGAGACAGACCACAGGCCACAGGTCCATAATGGAGAGATGTGAGATATATTAACTAAAGGGTATTATCATCTGCTTTACTTTTACAGATCACTGCATTTTTTTCTTCATTACATGAGTCTATGATCTCTGATACAGAAGAGGGGAGAGCACTATGGACAAGGAGATGAGGCAATGCAGACTTTAATGGTATTGGCTTTTATACGTAATAAGGGGGCACTGATCAAAGGTTCACAATACTCAAAAGCAGCTAGGTTGCACTCAGGAGGGGCACCAAGTGCTCTCCAGCCAGGCTGAGTAAATTGCCAGATCAGCTAATCAGAATTCAACTGGAAGATGTAAGTTAGTGGAGACTAATTGAAGACAGATTTAAGGGGCATCCATCTGGATATGGCAACCCTCTCCCACTCTCCTTAGTAATTTCTGGTGAATATTAATAATGTTTTTTATATAATAGTGTATGTGTGGAGTGGGGGGGGGGGGGGAGGGGGAGGGAAGGGTCCTCCAAATGAAGCAACTAAAAAGCCTCAAACGTACAGGGTGAAATTACTCCGAGGATATCTCAAGCAGACTATCCATTTACTTGCCCTCTTGGCTCCTCCTGGGCACGGGGAGGGCGATTGGTGGAGGAGCCACGCACTTATGAAAAACAGCACATGTGGGATGTTATCAGCACCTGCTCAACATGGGTATATGAGCCAATTAAGCAAGTACGGTTGTATGTTGTCCTCCACTACATGATTAGAATCAGAATCTGCGGCTGTGTGGTCCTTCTTGACCCGACTCACGTTAAGATGGAATATTCCCTGGAAAAAGGTTCACTTAATGAAGAGTATTGAGCCACAGCCTGATCAAGACGTAGGCAGGATGGATGCAACCGCAGATTAATGAAGTCGTTGAGATAAGAGTGGGTTGAATTTGCATAAGACACTCAACAAGAATTAGTAGCATTATATATGTAATGTAGGCAGTGTAAATGCTGTGGAATAAATGGAGTTTTAACCTGTAGATTATAGTGAGACACACTACTGCAACCAGTGGTGGAAAAAGTGCTCAGATCGTTAACTTAAAAGGACAGTACACCCTAAAATCAAAGCCACATATTTTTCCTCTTACCTGTAGTGCTGTTTATGGGTCTAGATTGTTACTATTTTCTTTCTACCAAACTTCTACCAAACTACACCCACCAACTGTATCACTATGCAGAAGAAAGAGTGCATCTACTCATGGACGAGCTGCTCATGCTAGTGACAGCGCAAAATGTAAATGTTAATGGCGTCCCCCTTGGCTGAGCTGTAACATAAGCTAGCTCAGAGGTGCGATGTAAGATAGCAGTAGATGCACTCTTCCTTCTGCACAGTGATACAGTTGGCGGGTGTAGTTCAGTAGAGAGAAAATAGTTCCTACATGAAACTGCTCTGACTTTTTCAGATGTATTCTTTTGTCACTTTGAGCACCACAAGCCAAGTGCCATTTAGCTCCATTATATTTGAGAAAAGGCAGACATCTCTACAGCTGATATCTCGAACACTCGGCAACTCACACCAAAACAGTCTACACTGAGAAATAGCACTACAGATAAGAGGAAACATATGTAGTTTTGATTTTGGGGTGAACTGTCCCTTTAAGTAAAAGTAGAAATACTATAGAGTGCTCCAGGAATGAGTCCTAAAACCCGCAAATGAGTTAGCATTTTTGCATTCCTGCTTCCTTTGAGTCAGTTAATTTTTTAAGTGGTTTTTAGTTAGATGCCTGAAATAAGGTCTGTAGTTAACAGTTTAAGAGACTTTCACGTTTTGTTCTGTGATATAAAATACATCAGTATATACTCCACTCCTTCATTTTGAAGCTTTTAGATGCTAACAAGTGGCTAAATGAGACTACAGAACATCACCATGCTGAACACAGCTTTACAGCCTTATTGTGACGGCGACATTAAGTCATATGACCTCAGTGTAATTGCCTAATATTAGCTTTTTATGACTGGAGATTGCATTTACACTTCAAAAATCATAATAGTGGTGTTTATTTGTAAAGTTTATTTTGCTGAACAGTATAAAAAAAAAAGAAAAGTGTTGGCCTCAAATCTTATATTCTCCAATAATCCAAAATTCAAGAGGAAAATATTATTGGATTTTTGGCAAGGGAACTATGGTGATACTAACTTCTGCATCTGCCGACAAAAAACTCTATAGTCTATAAATACTCCTTTACAAGTGAAAGCCCTGAATTCACAATGGTACCAAAGTAAAAGTGCATCAGTGTGGAGCCAATAGATTTGTATACTGCTGGGTAGATCAGTAGTATAGTACTGCGTCATGTCATATATTTCAATGTAAAAAATAACTAGTAGCAAAGTGTCAAATAAATGTAGTGGAGTAAAAAGCACATTATTTCTCTCTGAGGTGTTGTGAAGTATAATGTATTGTAAAATGAAAATACTCAAATAAAGTACAAGTATGACAAAATTTTATTTTAGCACTTGATTAAATGTACTTAGTTACTTTCCATAACTGACTACAACCCTCAGTTTTAATGGCATGTTTTTCCTTAGCTGACAGTTGTCACATTAAAGTCACAGTGAAACAACAGTAACAGTATCTTAATCTTCGTGGACGACAGCAGGGTTTAGTTATGAGAAAGATTTAAATGAAATTTGATGGCACTGTGAAAAAAGTGGGTGAATATTGTGAGCTGTGGGACTGTTCACATCTAAACCACACCTCCTTCACCTGTGTTGTTAGTTCAGGAGGATGATAAGGTTTAAACGAATAAATTAGACCTCACTAACATTCATTGGAAATGTGAAGAACATATGATGATACTGGCCAAATACAAATCAGTGGTCAAGTGCTGCTCAAGATGAGTCATCAAAAACATTTTTATGTTTAACAGGTAGAGAAAATGGAGAGCTTTTGATATAATTTTTTTTATTTTATTTTGCATGTAAAACAAGACAAATGACTAATTTAACACAGGGACACAGAAATTGTGTTTTTCATTTCACTCTGTCTTGTGTTTCGGAGCGTTCATGCTGTTTAAGCCACAAAAACACATTTTTCTTCACATGGTCTTTGCATGATCCATGTCTTCACTTTTCACGGATTCAATTCTGTGACCCTACGACATCATTTTTTTTCTTCCTTGTGCTTTGCAGTGGATCCAGATCTCGCAGTGAAAACACCGGGGCAAAGAACATCGTCAATATGGCATTCACAACGGCTGTTATTTCCCCCAGGACGTGGAATCACACATTTGAAACAGTCCTCTGGGGAGATATTTAGACAACAGACCGATCCAAACTGCTGGTAACTCAAACCTCGCTGTCACACCGCTGCCTTTAACAGACTTTAAAAAGGGAAAAAAGACAGAGAAATAGGTCAATAGATGTATCAGCTGCCACAATCTGTGATTTTATTTGTCTTTTTTTGCACAAAAACATGTAAAAATAGACACAAGAACAATAAAACTGAAAAACAATACAATAATGTGAAAGTACGGTATGTTTAAGATCTTAGGGTCATCACAAAGGTCCTACATCTCTTAAAGAAATGCACTGTTCCACAGATCCTCTGTACCTCAAAGGAAAGTGACAGTACTATACTATAAAGGTATTTAGAGAAAATGATAAATCCTAAAAAGCTGTCATCGTGGTGATTCCATTTAGCGTATGATTACTGTCCCAGATGTCAGTGATGATGGAGGCAACAAGGAGGAGTGTTATATTAGTCCCCAAAGCCTGACAACAATAATACCTTTCCTATTTTACAGCCTAACTTTCTCTTACTCCACAAGGAGACATTTTCACTAAGCTGCTTTGATATGCCTGGCTGCTTGGTAGCTGTTGTAGAAAAAAGAAAGAAAAAAAAACCTCCCACCACATCGACAGGTGTCTGATTTCTATTCCCACGGCAAACGCACGCCACAGCTAGATGCAGATTGCCTGTGGAGATCACCGTTTGTGTGAAATAATAGTGTATGTGGAAATACTGGCCCGGGGACAGTCTGCAGGCCTTCAGATGAGATGTGTGTTTGAGAAGAAATGATACAACAGTGAGGGAGTGATTGCCGTAATGACAGATCCCTAACCAGACATTTTTCATAAATGGAAACTTGGGTTTGGGCCTGAAAAGAATCAAGAATGGATATGTCAAAGTGTGAGACAATTTAGAGAAAATGTTTTTGTGCTAAATTGCTGCATCATGGATGCTCGGGACGCTTTAAGGTAATGGAGTTCACGCCTGGGTAGAATCACTCAATCCATGAAAGTTTGGAAAGACTCTTGTTGACAGACGAGAAGAAGTCTGAGCAAGTTTCTCATCTGACTTGCCTTGAATGTTTTCTTTTGATTGATGGGTTTACATTTGACATAATGCACCGCTGGAGCATGAATAAATGGAATACTTTTTACATATATTTAACACTTAGGGTATATCAAGACTCTCTCTCTCTCAATGACATTTTCTTCTGGTATGCAAAATGGAAGGTCTAACCTGAGGGTATGACAATATGATTAGAATGGGAAGTCATTCGCCCTCCATCCTCACAGCCACTGTGATAAAAATATAAGAAAGTGATTAGGGGGTAGAGAAAGCTTTAGTTCATTTATATTTTATATCATTTGAAAAAGTAATCTGACCTATAGACGCTGTGGCTCACACTGGATATGGAAGTAAGGAAGCAGACGTCTGTATAAGACTACTTAATTTCAATGGAATCACTGCATTATTTACGTCATTAAAAACCAAGACTACTGTATAACCCATATTCAGGGGACAAAAGCACTAATACAAGGTTGGAGATGAAAATAAGGTGACAGCATGGGCACTCTGCAAAGATATATCTTAAATCAGCCTGATCAGTCTAGCATAATATGATGGTTATTACATTTAGGCTGTATATATGGATATCTGTCAGGGAATATGGCATGCTGTTAGTGTGGGATCACATCATATATAGCGAGAGAGTTTAACATCAGAGAGACACTGGTTGAACTCCATACATTATTACTGCTGCGATGTGTCAGTTTCAATTTTCACTACATTGCCCCTGTGGTTAATAATTAGATGTTTTGCAAACACTTTTTTTTGCAGTCAGTTAGGAAAGTGTCAGTTTTTCACCCACCAATTATTGTTTCAAACATTCAGCAATGAAACTTTGAATTTTTTTTTAACCCTTTATTAACTGATTTTTGGCACTTACAGGCAGCAGAAACAAGCTGCAAACACAACCACTGACACTGTATCACCTTTTTGCTCTGTTTTTGGTCTCCACCACCACCTGAGGGAAATTTTGGCTAAATGCTTCACTATGTTCACCGAATTGTAGCTTTGTCCATCAGCCATTTGGTGCTGTTATTGTTGCGCATATTGGGGTTTTTAAAGGAGGGATGTGACATTCTGGGCTGATACGATACCCGTGTTTAAAATAACAGTTTGGTTGATAGCTGATACAGATTGTTACAACCCAGTATGTGTCTAGGGGTAAGGGAAGCAACATAAAACCAAACAATGAAGTGAATAAGGCAAGCTGCCGTTTATTCATTCACAAAATAAACAATACAAGCTACGCTTTATAAAAAAAGGCGGTACAGAAAAGAAAAACGCGCTCGCAAGCTCTGTAACACAACCCGGAAATCGGGCTTCACGAAAGGAGCCTCGGTGGTAAATTACATTTAAACAAATTCAGGGAAGGGCGGCGGGTGACGGCAAACCATAAAACAATTAAAACAAAACTCTGACCTGTCACCAACAAAATAAACACCCCAACTAACTTAACTAACGGTGGTGGAAGGCCACCCAGAATAACAAAACTTAAACAAATCTGCCTGTCTGCTCTATGACTTACCTCACAAACAAAACAACACTCAAACCGACACCCATAAAGCTAGTGTACCATACATCAAACAATCTACGTGTGTGTGCAAAGGAGATATAGCTAGGCTACAAAGCTAAATCCTAAAGCCCATATATTCCCAAATACAACAACAACAACGAACAGATTATAGCAGCTGAAAACACAAACGGAGCGAGGCGGACTGCTCAGGTTAAATCACAGCAGCGATTGCTCTTGACTTCGTGCAGCCTTTAAAGGTTCAGACGAGGGGCCGGTGAAGCGGTGATTGGCCGGAACCGATGATGACAGCGAGGGGGCCGGCCGACCAGCAAGCGAAGGAACACTGAACAGCAGCAGAGGAGAGCGGGCTGGAGGCGTGGTCCGCCGGGATTCCCTCCAGAAGAGCAGACAATTAGACTCACATAAATGATTGACAAGTGCTGGCCGAATAATTCCCATAATGACATGCACAGCACATTAAACACAGAAAATAAATGTACTAAGGTCCGGAGACCGTAACACCCCCCCACATAAATACAAACCTGCCGGATTTGTTACCAAACAGACTACACCCGGTTGTTCAGATCCGTTTTAAAGTCATGCAGTCCTTCATTACACTACCTTTGAATGAGCACAAATTCAGTCATACACAGTTATGAAATAATCTTTAAAATAACCTTCTTTCACGTGGAAAAAAAAAAACTGCTTCAGAAGTCATTTTCCTTACATATAATGTCATAATTCCCTCTGTAATATCTATTTTAGATTGGTTTGTTAAACATCAACACATTTCTCCTTCAAACTACTGTATTTATTCAAGTTTCTCGCAAACTACATTTTACAAGATTACATTTGAACACATCATGAAAACTTACTTTTGCCCAATGCTCATTTTTAATGAGGAGAGTTTGAACACATCATAATTTAACTCAATCTCCATCAGCAGTTAGTTAGCCAAAATTAGGCTAACTTTAACTAACTCTCCTCGTGCCGATGTCAACATGGATTTGTCGTTCACCATGTAGCATTATCAGTGAAAAAAATAGGGTGTGTCCCCTGGGGAAGCTGTCTGTTAATCTCAAAGATGTTTTCTATCTTCCCCAGGACGACGGGACACCATTAGGTTAAAGCCCTGCTTTATAGCCTGCGTGAAATTGATGTGACACAACAGAAAAACGTCGGCCACTGCTAAGGATTAATGTCATCTTATTTGCCGATACGCCAATGGCAATTCACAAAGCGAATATCGGCTGATACCGATTTGTGGCAGATAAATTGGTGTATGCCTATTTTCAAACTTTTTTTGCTGAAAAAATAAAAAAACAAAAACACTAACAAAAAACAGCTGCCAGCTGTGGCTGAAACTGACGCTGATGAGAACCGTGAGAGTGAACCAAAACAGTAATGTTGTGAGGTGTAAAACCAAAACAGTGGGCAAAGAAACACCTAAAGTGAAAATAGACTAATGGTTTGTGCTTGAGTTATCATTATAAAGTATATTTTGATTGCATGATTTAATGGCCATATTATTGGCATTTAGATTGGTTCCCATATGCCCCACTTTCACTTGACAATATTTGTTTGCCACAAGGTAAAAAATGAAGGCTCAATATACAGTGCAGAGGAAGTGCATTAACCATTGTGCAACCAAAACAGCATGTGGATAGCACTTTTGTTTTTTTTTCCTCCCAGTTTTCTTATCTGTAGCTATCCCTAGTTACCAAAGACTATCAATAGCCTCCATTACAGTGGCTGTTTTAGGCGGGAATATTGCACCGTTATTCTACCTCACCAGTCTGTATAATAGGTACGATCATGGAATGGGGGACAGAGTTGTCTCGCCTTTAGACCGTAACAGCACCAATTCGACATCTGTGTAAAATGTGAGCTAGTGGGACAGAAGGAGTATGATGTTTTGATGACTTATATGTGCAACCCAAAACCAGGAGATTTAAAAAGCAGCTAGCAGCAGTTAGCAGCTAACACAAAGCAGAAGAACAGCAACCAAAAATGTTCTTTGTGGCAGTATTGCGGGATCTCTGCATAAAAAAGGCTACTGTAGGTGTCCCCAGTGGCAGAAATGGTGGACAGTGAAACAACTGTAGTAACTGTGGAAAGCAAAATGCAGTGTGTCCTGTTAGTAGTTGCTTGACTTGGAGGATAAAGGACAGCGATACGATTGTTGTAGCAGCAGCAGCAATAGTACCACTTCGAAACAAAGAGGGGAGAAAAGTTTAAAAAGTTGTCTGTTTCCACTTGAAATGTTTGGAGCTGAAAGAAACTGTAGATTCTGGAGATAATTCTTTGTGGGTTTGTCACTGTAGTGGCTCCTTCATGTTTGAGTAGTTTAAATTGATTATTGCTGCTTTATTTTTATACCTTAACATACCTATATGTAATTTTTGCAACTGTTGTTACTGTAAACCAATTTAGTTGTAACAGTGTGCTGCTGTTTTTCATGCAAAAGGCTATTACAGTGTTCAGTATTCTGTTTTAGTGTCACCACCCCCATACACATTCTGCTCTATATCACCAAACCAAGGTGAATCAGGATACTGACATGCATTAACTTTGACCCTGCCCAAACATTTACATACACAAAACACAAACCACGTCTGTTGATGCCCCCATAAACATGA